ACGAGCGGCCCGAATCCTCAACTGCGCGGCGGCGACGCCAGCGGCGGGAGACGGCGGCGAGGCACCAGGCGGAGGCCGCCACCTCCACACCCTCATCTCGTGCCCCATCCCCAGTCGAGGTGGCCCCTGGGCACGTCTTGACGGCCCTGCCCAGGCGGTCGGCTCGGCTGGCCAGGGGTTGAGCTTATCCGGCGCTTCATTAAATGCCTCTTGCTATCTATATGCAGATGCCCACCGTGTGTATTGCTTGGGGCATGCAGCTTATACTTTTGGGTGGGTTTTGTATTTGCTGCAATGTTGTGTACAGCTCTACCCCCCATACCTGAATCTCTTCCCTCATGTGTTTTGTGTTGGTGCATACTTTTCCAGCTGTTTGGCACCACAGCTGGGCCCGTAGCATTCATTTGCTCCTTATGGGTGTAACAGACAGACAGGGGCAGACAGTGTGGGCCACCAGTAATTGCGCTCCAGGCAATCGATGGTCTTATCCATGCCCACATGTCCAGCAATTGGAGTGTCGTTGTGCTCGGAGATCAATTGCCGACCAAGTGTGCAAAGGTGCGTTTGGCCATCAGTGGTGATGTATCGCACTCAGTTCTTATGTGGATTCTGATTTCATCTCCATGTACCATCGCAGGATGGGTTGTGGGATCCAGCAATGCCACCATCACCTCCGCACACCGCCATTATGCGCAGCGCTACCGCCACCTAGCTGCCCAGCGCCGTCGCAGCCAAGAAGAGCAAAACATCCTGCTAACTGAGGTGATCCTGTCCTTCAACTGGCTGGAGGAGCGCGAGACTGACATGGAGACGCGCATGGAGGAGCTACGGGCTAGCATAGGGACACGGGGCAGCAACGCCGGCACTGAAGAGCCTGACATGCCCGGCAGCAGCAGCACAATTGTGCCAGGCTTGGCGGGCAATGGCGCAGGGGCATGGCGAGGCTGCAATGCTAGAGATTGAGCTAAGCTGCGTACAACAAATTCATATCGATGCTCGCAAGCTTCTCAACAAGCACAAACCCAGCTGCTGATCTTTGTTGCAGTAATGTAAAGCAGTCAAGAGTGGCCGACTCAGCTGGCACCGGCAGGGAACATCAGCATGTGTGCGAGCCGCCCCACACCACTTGAACTAGATGCCTTGCTGTATCGCAGCTTACACACACATACAATCAGGTTGACAGCTTGACTTTAAACTCAATGCAGAAATCCCTAATCTTTCTCCTCTGCTCTTTTGTGAAAGCCGGGCTGCTTTCCCAAAGGCGGCACAGGTGTTCCACCGCTTTGGCCCGGCGCATGTTGTCAGCACGCCAGGTGCCAATTCGGTTGGCGTACATATCCTGCTGCACTAACACCAGAAACGGCTCCACTTCGTCCCATGTGGCTGTAGCTGCAGGAATGCCGTTGAGGGCGTCTGCTACCGCTTGTTGTTCTGCTTGCTGTTGCTCAGCCGCTGCTGCTGCTGCCTTGGCAGAGTTCCCCTCATGTGGACACTTGCCGGAAGTGTCTGCTAGAGGGCAGTAGGGCAGTTAGCGCAATGAGGATGTAGCCATATGCAGTAATCTACTCATCAAGCAACTAAATTTAGTTGAACACCCCAGCAACACACATCCGCGCATCGAGGGCACCTAACCAGCACCACATGGCGGGCAGCAAGCCAATCACTCAATAGCTGCAGAATCAGGAGGGATCCAGATGCATGTGTGGGGTAGGGCGAAAGAAAGCAAAGCAGGGTAGTCAGGGGGCCCTGCCAGCATAGCCAGCCAGCAAAACACATTCGCGCATCGAGGGCACACAACAAGCACCACATGGCGGGCAGCAAGCCAATCGCTCACCAACTGCCGAATCAGGGAGGAACCAGAATAATGGTGGGGGTTAGGCGAAAAAAAGGCAAAGCAGGGTAGTCAGAGGGGCACATGCCAGCATAGCCAGCCAGCATTACACATGGAATACTACAGGGCACATAACCAGCACCACATGGCGGGCAGCAAGCCAATCGCTCACCAGCTGCAGAATCAGGAGGGATCAAGATGAATGTGTGGGGTAGGGCGAAAGAAAGCAAAGCAGGGTAGTCAGAGGGGCACAAGACAACATAGCCGGCCATCAACACACATGGAACAATTCATGGCACATAACCAGCACCACATGGCAGGCAGCAAGCCAATCACTCACAGGCTGCAGAATCAGGAGGGATCCAGATGCATGCGTGGGGTAGGGCGAAAAAAACAAAGCAGGGTAGTCAGAGGGGCACATGCCAGCATAGCCAGCCAGCATTACACATGGAATACTACAGGGCACATAACAAGCACCACATGGCGGGCAGCAAGCCAATCGCTCACCAGCTGCAGAATCAGGAGGGATCAAGATGAATGTGTGGGGTAGGGCGAAAGAAAGCAAAGCAGGGTAGTCAGAGGGGCACAAGACAACATAGCCGGCCATCAAAACACATGGAACAATTCATGGCACATAACCAGCACCACATGGCAGGCAGCAAGCCAATCACTCACAAGCTGCAGAATCAGGAGGGATCCAGATGCATGTGTGGGGTAGGGCGAAAAAAACAAAGCAGGGTAGTCAGAGGGACACATGCCAGCATAGCCAGCCAGCAACACACATAGAATATTACAGGGCACATAACAAGCACCACATGGCGGGCAGCAAGCCAATCACTCACTAGCTGCAGAATCAGGAGGGATCAAGATGAATGTGTGGGGTAGGACGAAAGAACACAAAGCAGGGTAGTCAAGAGGGGCACATGCTAGCCTAGCCAGCCAGCATCACACATTCACGCATCGAGGGCACACAACAAGCACCACATTGCGGGCAGCAAGCCAATCACTCACGGGCTGCAGAATCAGGAGGGATCAAGATGAATGTGTGGGGTAGGGCGAAAGAAAGCAAAGCCGGGTAGTCAAGAGGGGCACATGCCAGCATAGCCGGCCAGCATCACACATTCGCGCATCGAGGGCACACAAGAAGCACCACATTGCGGGCAGCAAGCCAATCACTCACCAGCTGCAGAATCAGGAGGGATCCAGATGAATGTGTGGGTTAGGGCGAAAGAAAGCAAAGCAGGGTAGTCAAGAGGGGCACATGCCAGCATAGCCGGCCATCAAAACACATGGAATAATACATGGCACATAACCAGCACCACATGGCGGGCAGCAAGCCGATCACTCACTGCCTGCAGAATCAGGAGGGACCCAGATGCATGTGTGGGGTAGGGCGAAAGAAAACACAGCAGGGTAGTCAGAGGGGCACATGCCAGCATAGCCAGCTAGCAACACACATGGAATAATACATGGCACATAACATTGCAAGCAGCTCAGAGGGCCACACGCTAGCATGTCCATGCACACATAAAACATCGCAAGACGGCCAACCTTTGTTTGGGATCGAGTGCTCGGTCATTTGCTGAGCCATTGTAATATACACTTGGCGCTGGTGCATGCATGGGCTTGATGCTTAGAGGGTGCCTCGCACCATGTGTGCCTGCAGGCAATGCGGACAGATCCTTATGGTTGGCAGCTCTGCTGGTAGGGCACCCTAAAGTGAGCAGGCTCCCAAACAGACTCCAGCAAGGTAAGGATTCTAATCGGTGGCAGGGCAAGGGGTATGCACAGGCGTTGCAGGCGCAAGAGTGGCCAAATATTGTGGGCTGAGGCACCCTCGAAAGGCGGCCCGAAAAAATGTGCCAGTGCAGTGGTTTGGGGGGCAACTCCAGAGTTGTTGGGCCTGTTCAGGCATATTTAGGACC